GTGTTGCCTTGGGATAGACTCAACAAGTGTCTTCAGAGCATCAATATCAATTTCAACATGTCGGCCCCTACCATCACAGTTTTTAAGGCTAAAGTCCCCTGAACGAAATTTGCTGAACCATCGTTGACACTTATGCATTTTCAAAACATTTCCATAAACTTCTTTGATATTCTTTGTGGTTACAGAGGTGTTGTTTCCCTTCTTGTATTCAAACAGCATTACATGCCGAATGTGTGTCTCGTCGTGTGCCATCACTACAAACGATTAGAGTATAATAAACTTTACACATTATATAAGCTACACTAACGTGACATTTAGGCGGTAAGTGATGTACTTTTTTTTTGAGGGGGGGGTAATGAAAATGTTCAAAAACGCGATATTAATTTATTGACGACCTCATATGTTCCTTTAATAAGTTGCAATTAAAGCAATTACCGTTCTGTGGTTTACTTCTTCCATTCAAAGTAACCAGTTGTCTGATTTCTTTGAGTTATTCTAAATTTTGATCAGAATGAGTAATTACTTTCTTTGTCTCTCTCACCATTTTCTGTATTTTTCTTCTGGAGATTTTAATTTTCTGTAACTTTCTTCATGGTTTTTTTTTCTTTAATTTTTTTATGATGAACCAATAATACCTGGATGCTTTTATTTGTTTATCTGCAGCTTCAATTTATCCAACTTAAATATTGAATTGAACAGATTCCTTTAGATATATATATCTGCTCTGGTTTAATATAATTCACACATCCTTCATCCACGATGCTATATATGAATTGTTTGTTTGCCAACGAATCCTTCATTACAATTGGAGTATCTGAGTAAGATAATTTCGTAGGCTTTTCCATATACTCAACAGATTTGAGTAAAGTCTCTCCATTTCCTCTTTGTTGTGCTCATAAACCTATTTTTAGAAACTTCCTTTTCATGCTACACTCCAAATGTATTTATTAAGCCAGCCACTAATGCCTGGTGGTTATTACGGTTCTCGATTGAAAAATTGCTAAATTTTCTTAAAGCTGTTCCTTTTAAATGTCCAACAAGATGAACAGCTTGTTGTTCACTATTCTATCCATTTACTTTGAAACATATTCCAAACTGTTCATGATATGCCTTCCATTGTATCTTCTATTATAATCTGTCGTTTTCTCGATTGAGTGATTTTGTAGTAACAGGTGTAGTACCAAATGGCTTCTCCTTTTCTATATTGTATATTTTGAAGTTGTAATTCTTATGTAGACGCAGAGACGTGTGAGGATACTTGCATTTACCAATTCAGTTTGTTGAAGTTTTATCCTGGTATTGATCTCCTTCTGTGTATTTCTTTGATTTTGGTCTCATAATCCTTTTGTACGTGCCTCCCAGTGACTCAGTGATAAGTCTGAGGGCTTATAGCACTAAAATTCACGTTTTGATGCTCGCGGTAGACAAAGCACATTTAGCCCATTATGTAGCTTTGTGCTTATTAACAAAGAAACAAAAAACAATCCATTTGTAATTCACTGTTGTTCTTTTGCGCTTCTCCGATTTTGTTGTTATAATTTCCTTTACTTCGTTGATGTATTTTTGTTTTTTTACTGCTCTGATGTTCCTTCATAAATTTTCTATGGCTTCTACGTCATTGTCCCCAATTAAACTGATCTTTGTTCGAAATTTTACGTAAATCTTACGTCACATTCTTGTAATTTCTTAGCATTCCATCTTCTTCTTCTCGATTTGTTTTCCAGTGGATAAAATTAGTGACTTTACGGACTTACAATGATAAAATCTGGGGTTTGCTTCTCCATAGTGAACAGATCGTACATAGCCCATTGTGCAGTTTTGTGCTTTAGAAAAAAAATAACTACAACTCCTCAATCTTCTTTTAACTTTCTTTGTCTCTCATCCCATTTTTTGTCTTTTTCTTCTGAATATTTTAATTTCCAGTAATTTTCTTCCTGTTTTTCCTTTAATTTCTTGTATCTAAGTGCTTGATCATATTTCCACTGTTTCACCAAATTATTCCATTCCTGACACGTGTGTTCTCTTGGATTATTAAAAAAAAGTACTGTCAACTAGCGAAAAGTTTTATTTCATGAGCTGAAAATAACTTATACTTTACACAGTTTCACGAAACAACGATGGGTCTAACTTTACAAATAACTCTAAAAAGCAACTTACTTACTAACCTCTATAATATCTCTACTACTATGTTAAAACAAACTCAAAATTTCCGAAATAAACTCAATTGATCAGGGAACAGACAATATGACTAACCCACCAATTAATTTTTTTACAAAATTGTACATGAAGGCTGAAGTAAGAGGGCCGAAAGCTCGTAATTAAAAGAGAAATAATTACCGTAGAGAGTAGCTCGTCTATATTTTTTGTACCCTGTTTTAACTTAGGCCTAGCATAACGTGATGGTTAGAGCACTCGACTTGCAATCTGAGGGTAGCGGGTTCGAATCCTCTCCCTGAAAATCCTTACCCCTTCAACCACGAGAGCGTTATAAGTGAAGATCAATCCCACTATTCATTGGTAAAGAGTAGACTAAGAGTCGCGATGAGTTGTGTTGACTAGCTGCCTTTCCAAAGGACAACTATCTTTGCGCGAAATTCTAAACAAACAAACTACGCTCTGGTATCAGAGATACACCATGGAGGAGACGAAAACTCTAGCCGTTACTGTCACGCAGTGCTACAACTGTCAACATCACAGACACGGATCTCCACCACGGTGTGTTAGCTGAGGGGACGATCACCAAACGACACAATGTAACAAGGATAACGACACACCACGATGCTGCACTGCAACGATACACACACGGCAAACTACAAAGAATGCCCCAAATATAAACAAATTAATAATATTAAAAACAACACACATCAGAAACAAATAACAATAAACAAAATACTACAGACAATCCAAAGCCAACCCTTACAGAATTCAGAAAATACCCAAACAAAAAATATAAAAACATACGCAACAGCTGTAAAAGTTAACACCACAAATGTGAGTTCAACAACAACAAGTGACGAAGACAACAACACCGAATCACAAAACATGGAGGAAGAGGAGGAAGCATTAAACCTGACCCTTCCAGATCCCCAAAAGGGTCTAGATCCCGAGTGCTGGCGTTTTTCACCGCCCAAATAGTTCCTTAAATGTTCAAGAAAATGCTTATCATTAATTTAAGAGTTGATTAGGTGACGTTAAAAAACATAAAAACTCTAGCCATAAACAGAAATAAAAAACGTTAAAACCATAAAAACCCTAGCCATAAACAATAATTAAAAATGTTAAAAACCATAAAAACTCTAGCCATAAACAATAATAAAAAATTAAAAACATAAAAACTCTAACCATAAACAATAATAAAAAATGTTAAAAAACATAAAAACTCTAGCCATAAACAGTAATAAAAAACGTTAAAAACATAAAAACTCTATCCATAAACAGTAATAAAAAACATAAAAACTCTAGCCATAAACAATAATAAAAAACGTCTAAGTTACAAAAAAAATAAAAATAAATAAAAAGCACCTACAGTGCTGAAAATCGAATAGTATAACTCTACATTTTGTAAGTCAACAAGATCAACTAGTAACATGAATAAGTATTGGATTGGCTTAGAGAAGACAAATAGATTCCATACGTGATACTTTGGACGCTTTGAGTAATGTTCCAGGTCAATCCACTTTTATCAGTGATTCTTCTCCATCACAGAACTCGCATTTCGGGTTTCACCCATCAAATCATCGATTAAGCAATCAGATTCTATTCCAGAGTCTGCTTTAAAGCAGCCCGAAATTTCTAAGGGGGTTATATATTATCTCTGGCAATCATCTAGATCGAAACGCAGTAAAATCCCTACACAGAGAGTGCTCTGAGAAAGAAAAGAAAAGAGAGAAAGAAAAAAGACAAATCGAATTCCTTAGCAGACGAAACAAAGGAATAATAAATACACTAATCTAAAATACCAGATACTTCAACAATTTATTATTCGATACCCGAATAATTATAATTACAAAATGTTTTAATTTGCAACTTAGCATTGATGATGTAGTTGAAAAAAGAAACTTTTGACGAATGTGTTTTACCCCTAATGTGATTTTTAACTTTAATAACTCTTGTGAATATGTGGATTTTGAATATTTATCAAATGACGTTGTTAAACAACTTTCCACATTTTAATTATGTAAGCACATACCGTGCCTTGATGCGACAGAAATGAATTTGAAATTTTGAATTTTGTGCTTATGACAAAGTTAATAAGGACTATCCGCCGCCCTTTCAGAAACGAAACAGAAATACGTTTGTTTAAAGAGTGATACTTTTAATTGTGAGTTTAGAGACCTTGTAAATAGTGGTAAAATGACGTGATATCAACATATATGTCCCCCAGTGGTACAGTGGCATGTCTGCGGACTTACAACGCTAGAATCTTGGTTTCGATACTCGTAGTGGGCAGAGCACAGATAGCCCATTGTGTTGCTTTGTGCTTAACTTCAAACAAAATCAATATTTATGGTTAGCAGCGCTTTTGTGTGTAAAAAATCCAAATAAAATTATAGTAAAAAATTCGGTGGCTGTGGTGTTTATATAACTTCAATAAATTTAATTTTTTATAAAGTAGAAAAAACCCGATAATATTTAAACTTCTGTGGGGTAACTAATTGTATGTTAATTACTTAGAAAATTCAGTTTTTCAAATTTAAATCAGTTTCGATTAGAAATGTTCAGGAAAGGCTGGATTATAATACAAGATAATTTTAATTATTTTGGAAATCTAATTTCAATAAATAAACTTTTTGTTTTTTTCCTTTTATATATATATACGTTATGTAGTAAGAAGTCTTTGAATTAGTCGTTTCTAGACATTTGTTTCCGTATGGTATTTTTCTTTTCATAAATATTTATATTCAGTTATTAATATCTAGCGCCGAAACAAAAATTCAGCATTTTAAATATTTAACTAAATATTCATTTGCTGTTTGTAGAGTCAGACTTTAGGTGCAAAAAAAATGTATATTATTTATTTATCAATAGTTTATTAGACGTTGAAAAGACGTTAGATTAACTATATCTTATTTTGCATTAAAGTGAATGAGAAAGTTCAAATAATCACAAAATTGTACTCAGTTCTTTTTCTGAACACAATAACAATCTGTTTGTTTTTGAATTTTGCGCAAAGCTACTCGAGGG